GGATGGATGGATGGATGGATGGATGGATGGATGGATGGATGGATGTTATTTTCTGACTGCAGTGATCCACCTTGGTTTTTATTCAGTCAGAATTAAATTTAGGTTTTGTTTTTTTTTTTTTCAATAAAGAGCCATCTATGACAGGTAAGATAGTGATCAATCTAAGCTCCGCTACAGAAGCCCACTTCAGAATAACTCAGATTTGTAGTTAGGAGTTTTTAGGACTGTGACTGTCAACCTGCTTTATTAATCAAATGTTTCTGAAATTACAGAAACTAGCTTTGACGTGCCGCTTTTATACAAACCTGTTTTTCCTGTTTTCATGCTGATTTCTGGTTTGATCTCTTAATCGGATCAGATGATCAGATCAGCCTGCTTCAGTGAGACGTGTACACAGACTGAACCTGGTTTAGAATAAATTGATCTGAAGGCACATCCTCAGCTGGGAAATAAAGCAAAACAAATAAAATCTTTATTGTTTAAGTACATAATGTTGTCGCTCGCCGTTCGAGTAGTTCCCCGCGACATGACTCAGCGCGGACCGGTGCTCGCCCTCCTCTGCTGTCACAAACGATCACAGGTTTTATTTTCTCGTTGGCTTCTAACGTAGACCTGGTCCTTTCCTCAGCTTCTGGCTTCATGTGCTGCTCAGCTGCAGCTTCTCAGTTTGAGGCTGAGCAGAGACCTGAAGGGCTGACATCACTGAAGTTAGTCAGGTCATGTGTTGAGCCAAAAAAATCCCTGTGAGGGAGTTTAAAACAGGACTTTCCCACCATCCTCTTGGAAATCAGTGAGGTTTGTGAGCTAGTTGCCCTTCTTTTCTTCTCTTTTTCTTTTTTGCTGGATGTTATGGAATGAAGTGTCCTGCCAGGATTCAGATTCTACAGAACTCAGCCAAAGAAACACAATAAGTGTCTAATGCCAAAATATTAAAGCTGTTCCATTAGAATCTGATGCCTCTGCTAAACGCAGACTTCTGAATCAATCACTCATCTTCTTCTCTCCCTCCTTAATGGTTTGTTAGATTTTGTAATTCATTTGCCTCGGTGCTCATAATTACCTTTTTGTGCAATCGGTGGCTCATAATGCTTCCAGCTATTCATTACCCGTTCTTCTTTCATGTCGTAGGATGTTGGGATGCTGAGGAGAGAGGAGGCTGGACCCAGGCTGCGTGCCTAGCGAACCCATGGAGGACTGACAGGAACAGTGCTGGATGGAGGCCAAGACACTGGATGGCGAAGACGAGGAAGCGCACAGCATTGTGGATCAGTCCAATCGTTTGTTCTCGTCCTCAGATCCCATGAAGATGCAGCGCGTTCCGCCATGTGCTTCAGCTGTGAGAGATGGGGAAAAGCTCCAGAGAGGCAACCAAGGCTGAACAAACTCCTGTGCTGCACGTAGGAGTCGGAGTCTTTTTCTGCATATTTTAGGGTGAAAAAAAACAACATAATTATAGACGGTTAAAAAAAAAATCACTTCCTGTAAGATTTAGAGACCGCACAGGAGCTGTTGCAGATAGGAAACAGGAGCCATGATGGGCAGCTGTGACGGCAGGGTTTCCTGGTGTCTGCTTTTAGCGGGCTTGGTGCTAACAGGAAGAGCTCTGGAATATGAAGGCGTTCCCGGTCAGTGGACTCGTTACGGTCAGTGGGACGCAAAAACGACCGGTGAGCTCAGCTTCATCCTGAAAACCAACATCAGCAAAGCCTTGGTTCTCTACCTCGACGACGGAGGGAACTGCGATTTCCTGGAGCTCCTGATCGCAGACGGGAGGCTGCAGATGCGCTTCACCATCCACTGTGCTGAACCGGCGTCCCTGCACACCGAGACGCACGTCAACGACCTGCGCTGGCACCGAGTCCTCCTCAACCGCAACTACAAGGAGACCAAACTGGTGGTGGACAACGAGGAGAAGGTGGCGGAGGTGAAGTCCAAGAGGAAAGAGATGGTGGTGGCCAGCGACCTGTACGTGGGCGGGATCTCGCCTGACGTGCGCCTCTCTGCTCTGACGTCCAGCACGGTCAAATACGAACCCCCGTTCCAGGGCTTCATCAGCAATTTGAAAGTGAGGGAGGCTCTGCCGGTGCTTCTGGACGGTCAGGCCGTGCACAATGATTTGGAGTACATATGTGATGCGCACTCTCCCTGCAGCAACAAAGGCCTCTGTTCTGTGAGCCAAGGAGAGGTCCTCTGTGACTGCATCACCGGCAGCCACCAAGGAAAGTACTGCCAGGAAGGTGAGGAGACCTTTACCACAGATACAAAGTCTAAATGTGCTTTTATTATATAAGCAGGGTCAGAAACATTTTGTTCTAATATATAAATATATGAGTCAACAGCAAAAACACAAAACAAGCAGATGACTGAGGCTAAAATACAGAGAAGTGATGATGCTGAGTAAATATTGGGACTTACCCTTTAATAAAGTATCTGTTTGAAGTATACAAACCACAGCCAGACTTAAGTGGAACAACTCAATACTTTGTATGTTATCTTACATTTATGGAAACACATGAACATAATGACTTAAAGTACCGTGTTTTTCAGACTATAAGGTGCAATATCAATGAATGGGTCTGTTTTCATACATAAGACGCACCGGATTATAAGGCGCATTAAGCGAAACAAGTTCATTTTGAAAGATTTTTGAGCGCAGTGTACCATATAAAATAGGTTCGAGGTCAGTAAACACAATAAGAATTAATGCATAAGGCGCACCAGATTATAAGGCTCACTGTCGATTTTTGAGAAAATTAAAAGATTTTAAGTGTGCCTTATAGTCCAAAAAATATGGTATTTTAAATATCACAAGAATCAGTACAAACACAAGTTGATATTCAATTATTGTTTCACAAAATAAAATACGGAACCAAAGATTCATAAAAAAATGAAAAGGAAGCAATATAGTAAGAAAAACCTACTGCAGTGTTTTATCTACTTCTGAATCAAACAAAAATGAATATTTGACATGGTTCAGATGGTCATGTAATCTGGATCTCCTTTTTCTGGTTTACTAACATCTAAATTTATAGTTTTTCACACTTCCTGTTGACATCACACACACGCACAAGCAGACAAGCTTCAGCACATCAACATATTTTTGAGTCTGGTGCAATCAGACTCCATAGAAAGTCCGACTGTATACACACTGCTGATCCTTTCAAAATAAAAAAACAAAGGTGTGGGTGTACAAAACAAAACAAAGCTAGGTCACATCCCCATCAGTTAGATTAATGGGGATGTGATAGATCGATAAGATTAGATACTTTAAATATTGGATACTTTTAAACTCCGTCAGAGGGAACAAATCCAACAAAAACAGAAATGGTCTTAAAACAGAGCCCTGAGGGATCCCAAGGGACAGATTAGTGGGCTCTGACAGGCTTTAATTAAAATCCTGTAAGACAGAAACTTTTCACCTGTTACCTATTAACCTTTGACTCATGAAGACACATCTTCAGATTTGTTTCAAACTTTATGTTGAGCGGTTTGGTGTGTCGGCCATTGTTCTGCACAGCCGGCGTTATCGTTCACCTCACAAACTGTTCAAATGTGTTATTAATACACCCATTCCAAACATAAAGTCCATGCTCCCATTGAGCTCCAGGGGATAATCAATAAAGCCCACTTAACAGCGATCCAAGACAAAGAGTGCTCCAGCGGTACTCACAGGCTGCTCGGTGAGGCCGTCAGCTCCTGGAGACGGAGGATAAGAGCTTTCTAATGCGAGACGTGTTCGCATCTTTTCAACGCTGACACATCTAACGGCCCCCAAATGGATGCCGTTTCCTTCTGGTTGGAAAATGAGCAGAACACCGAGCGAGGAGTTTAGCATTATAAAGTGAGCATTTAAACTCCTGCAGCACCGAACAGAGCGATGTGTAAACCCTGAAGTTTTTATTTTTCTTCCCTTCTTTGAAAAGCACTTCAGCTTTTTGGCTTTTATGAATGTTCATCATTAAAATGTGACGACGTGGGAACTCTGCAGGGTTCCTCTCTGTCCATAAAAGACGTCTGAGCGCAGGCTGAAGTGGTTTTCATTTAAGAATGACACATGTGATACTTTGCATCTATTTGTTTTTCATTTTAATGACGAACAAGATCACTTCTTCTAGTCAAAATACAGATATTTATATAAAAAGCAGGAACAGATAGATAATGACATGCTGTCTGTGTTTCTCATGATAAATTGTGAAAGTGAACTAACGCATGACCGTTAAAAATCTGTTTTTCTTTGTTCTCCTGCAGTTGTCCAGAGAGAAGTAGAAGGTAAGACACACATCAGATAATGAGCACAGTTTGTCTTTGGGATGCTCTTATTTGCAAAGAAAATTAGCCCCGCGTCGATGCGCGTTGGGTTTATTAGCAGGCTGTTATTTTGAGTTTGGACTGCAGTTCCTACATCCTCCAAATGAAGCTGCGCTCAGATTTACGATCTCTGCTCACGAGGTCACCGAGGGCGGGGCGCCTAATGTGCCGTATGCTCGTTGTGTTCACGATCAGCGGGCTGGAGGTGACCCAAGGTCTGCAGAGAACGTGGGAGTCACATTAACAGAGTGAATAACAGCAGTTTCATTATTTAAAAATATTTTTATCATTCTCCTCATTCTTCTCATCCTGATTCCTGTTCAGAGGTCTAGAAGGAGTTATCATCAGACCCAACATGACTGATCACTGCAGGCCTAAGATTTTATCATTTAAATTGAAAATGATGTTTTTTTTTATGTGGGTGTGGAAATAAAAAGGCTCGTCCAGTCCAGAGGGAGGCGTTTCTTCTTATTATTATTTCCACTGACCACAGACCGCTCTGTAACGAGGTGCATGTCCACTGAGATGAAGATGGAAAGAGAGTTGGGAGATTTGTTTAGCTGGCACCAGACAAATCCATCTCCCCCAGTAAGGACGCCTGGTTCTGGTGAAAGGGCAGCCAGCAGGCGAGCATCATAAATCACTGTTACTGACACAAGATGGCTGACACACACCTGAGCTGCACACACCTGCTGTATGCTGTACAGCAGCAAAACTGACCGAAGTCTGTAAAAACACTCAGGTTTCACCCAGAAATGATCCAGAAAACAAATATAACCAAACACACAGACCGTTTGAAGCCTCGTTCTGTGGAAAGGATATAATCAGTATCTTACCTGCTGTAGATAGCTTTTTGAATGAACTCAGGGGAGTTATTTCAGCCCACACTGACAAGCTAATGGCTAGTCTGAGCTGTGGATTGCTGCTATCTTGAGAACTGTTTACACGTGAACAATTTCTGGAAACGTTGGTTACGTACTGTAACCCCAGATTCTATGAATATAGGCGTAGCCCTTTAAGGCTGTCGCTGATGGGTTTATCCCGTTATGCAGAGCATAAGCACTGAAAAAAATTAGTCCACGCCCACCTGCTGTGTGGGCCCCACCCGGTCCGTATAAATTACGTTAAGAGCGGGAAATCGGCTCCCAAAATAGCTTTTTTCTTCAGCCATTTAGGAGCCAGTGAGGCCCGACGCTTAAAGGGCTACGCCTATATTCATAGAATCTGGGGTTACAGTACGTAACCAACGTTCTATTTCATATAGGCTTCGCCCTTTAAGGCTGTCGCTGATGGGTTAAGGGCGAAGCGGATGTGGTCCTCGCCTCACTGGGTCCATTCGAACACAGTAAGAAGCGGAAGCTTGCCCAAAAAACGTCTTGTCACCCAGCTCCCCGTGTGCATAAACTACGCATCGCGTAATTATGTGCCATGCACAGACGCATGTTGTGTAACTATGCGTTCTGACAAGCATGAATACCCCGGAAAAACTTTCAACGGGAAGAGGAAGTTGAAAAGAGGGGGGGAGGGGGGCATGAACCAACTGGTTCATGGCTGAACAGTATAAACAGATTAATGTCCATGAATTGATAAATAATCAAATGAACTGATTGGTAACAATAATCATGAACTGATTAGTGACAATAGAACCAGAAACACAGACACGACTGTGACTGATAACAACATCTCACACTGTAATGCATGCAGACAGAAGTGAGCTTAAACATAGTTCCATGAGAACAACAATATTCATTCTGTTAGAGCACTAAGGACAGAATGTGTCATGGAACGAGCCGTTACATCACGTAGGTAAAAGCGAATAAATGAGCAGGGTGTTGACCATGCAGCCGCAGTGCAAATGTCCTGCATTGACATACCATTATGCAGAGCAGTCGAAGATGCGATACCCCTGGTCGAATGTGCTTAGAGGTTGACAGGAGGCCCTAAATCTGATGCTCTGTAGGCTTCAGAAAAGGCCTCACACAGCCAGTGTGACAAACGCTGGATGGATAACGGCGACCTGCAGAAGCATCTCTATAATGCACAAACAATTGTTGAATTTGAACGCATTGCAGCGGTGCGCGTTACGTAACACGTCAACGCCTGCACCGGGCAGAGAAGATGAACAGATGCTTCCCCATCTGATCTGTGGGGGGGAAAAAACCCCTCCAACGATATCACTCTTGATTTAAAAGAGCTCGTGATGTTTTAGGCATAAAAGCTGGGTTGGTCTTAAATCAGCTGAGCTGCCCGTCAGCCTAAATTCTAAGGCATGACGAAGCAACAGAGAGGGCAGATAAATACTTACCCTCTTAGCGGGTGTTAAAACCAGCAACAGGGCTGTTAAAAGAGACAAGAATTTAAATGAAACCTGATCCAGAGGCTCAATTGAAGCTTTGATCAGGGCTCGCAGGACCAGCGTTAAACCCACTGTGGAACAAGTGGGCGTGAAACAGGCCTACATCTCTGTACACCTTTTAGAAACCGCTTCATCAGCGGGTGATAAAAGCTGTTCTGTCTCCAAACCCTTTGTGGCAGGAAGAGATGGCTGCAATCGTACGTTAAAGCGTACTGAAAGCCAACTCCCTATCCATCAGCTGTTGTAGAAAAACAACACGCCGCCTAAAAGGCATGAAGTGGTCTCTAAACCTTCTCTGTACACCAGCGCTGAAAAGCCGTCCCCTTGATGTGTACAGAACTGTGGTAGATGCAGCACGTGAATCTTGAATTGTGCACACTATCTCCTGAGGGAGACCCATCCTCTAAGTGGAACCACTCAGCGGTCAGACCCACCGGTGTTGACCTATTTCTGGGTAACTCTTGGTCGCTCCTCCTGCCTGAAGGAGAGCATCCTTCCTCCATGACAGTTCCACGGCGACCCAACAACAGACGTTGCAGGCCTGGGAACCATAGTGCGTTCACACGCCGGGAG